TGATGTTAAGGCCAGGAGGGGTGCTTCTTTCTGGCTTTCTGTTGCTGGATCCTACTGGTTGCCTCAGGAGAAGGAGTGAGAAGGTACAGCATTAACAGCACAGACACCAGGACTCAGTTGAAGACAAACAACAAACTTCTTCTTTTAATAACAGGGAAGGCCTTTTACACCCTCCTCTCAGCACCCAGTCTGGGTTGCAATCTGCTTCCATTGCATGGTTGTCCCTCATTGGCTGGACATGATCAGGAATTCTGAGAGTGCCTTTTACTAGGCCCCCAGGCAGACTCCAGATTGGCTCATTTGAATTTCATTATGTGCATGCCTTGGCAATTGGCCGTAGCCAATTTCCTCGACCCTATTGGCATGTCCTACTACAGAGTCTTTAGCATGGTTTGCTTAGCCTGCTTTCATACAGAGCCCAGGACCACCAGGCCTGGGGTCACACCATCCACCATGGACTGGTCCTCCCCATCCACAACTAGTTAAGAAACTTCTCTAAGGTTGATCCACAGTCTCTAATTATGTATGCATTTTCTCAAGTGAGGTTCCCCCCTCTATGATGACTATAGATGATGTCAAGTTGACATATATCTATCCAACACAGTGGAGAGAGAAACGGCTGGAAAGGCAGACTCTAAAATTTAGACTTGAATACTAGGCTGGGTTAGGGAGAGTGGCAGGATCCAGCAGACAAGTGATTGGCACACAGGAGTGTTAAAAACCAAGCACTTCCATTCAGTTAGAGTGGATTGGGCCCTTTCAAAAGGTGCCCAGGGCTCTCTCCATGGGTACAAAACTAAATGTAAGCCAGTGTGGGGAAAAACAGAGATTTATTGAGGATTAAACTATCAAGCTCTCTCTCTCTCTCTCTCTCTCTCTCTCTCTCTCTCTCTCTCTCTCTCTCTCTCTCTCTGAGGGATGGTAGAGTAAAAAAGCAAAATGGTAGAAAAGAAAACAGATTTTATAGGATAGCAGGGTAGTCATCTTTGAACTGATTCAGGCTGTCTGGATTGAAGGGCAATTGACTGCTCTTGCTGAGGTAACAGATGCGTGTGGGAAGGTTAGGGTGGATCCTGGCCAACAGAAATGCACCATGAATGATTTGCTTCTCTGAAACACAGAGACCTTCTTTTAGGCTTCTGTTTATTCAGCCAAAATCCTTCTTGTTAAGATCAGCACCTCCATTTCAAGGACAGCAGCTTTGGACCTCACCTGTGCCTGCTGAGTCTCTAACCACACTGTTGACACAAACACCACAGCTCTTCCTAAAGGGCCTAAGAGATAATTTATTCTGGAGCCATTTTGAGTGGCAATGATCTGAAAACACAGACTCACATTAACCAAATTCCATGTTCCAATGTGGAGGCAGGCTCATGAAAACTTGATAGCTTAACAAAGAAAGAAAGTCACAAACTCAGGCAGGTTTAAGAGAACCTCAGAGAGGCATGTACATCAATATGGGGGAGCTTCTCCACAGCTCAAGATGTTATCTGCTGGCATTCTTAGCTTTTGAATTGAAGCTGGTTGTCTGCTAAGTGAATAGACTCTATTGTCACAGGGTTAGTTCTGATACAGGGAGGAAACATGGCTGTTCCAGAGAGGCAACAATTAGTCCTTGAAGAGGTCATTAGCTTCTGGCCCGTGGTGTTCCCATCTCTCTACAGTACTGAAATTCAGATCAGCCAGGCAGGCTCTGCAGACACAGATTCCTTTAGGAGTTTCCCTTCACTGCCAGACAAGGCAGCTTCCCTCCAGAAGTCTGTGATCCAAAGAGGGGAGATGGAGTCTCTATTTAAATATCCAAATGCTGCTTGATAAGATGGTTACACAGACACAGGTGTAGTTTGTCTATTTGCCTCCAACTACTCTCCAGTTCCACACTGATCTTTGAATCATTGGAGAAACAGAAGCTGCAACCTTGAAATCTAGTGGCAGTCACCTTATTGATTGGACCACAGTGAGAGGTGTTTCTGCTAAAGAGATGTTCGAAATTCATGTTACCAGAAATCATCTTGTCTGCCCACTTCCAATCTTATCTCAGAGCACACCTTGTATGTGCCAGCATTTCCTAAGAGGTGGGAGATGGTGCCGATGTGGATAAATAGGCATCAGTGTGCAGTAGGAGAGCAGCACCCCAGGAGAACAGCAACCCCAAATATCAGGACTCATCTAACACTGATGGTGGGAGTTGGCTTCAGCTCTCCAGGTAATGCCCAGGATTCCTTCTCTGTGGGGACAGTGGAAGGAGCCTTTCCAGGACTGTGGTATTGGCAATTACCAGGTTTGGAGATGGTGAGAATGTTCCTGTGGTATGGGGTTAGAGTACATTTCTGGGGTCCATATGAATCTTCTCTCCAGTCAGGGTCATCATATATGTGGCAGATGTGGGTGCCTTGAGCTATGCTCCTGGAGAGTAAATGGAGCCTGCTCCTTCTGACCCTGCACAAGGAGGAAGGATCGAGACCTTGTCTAGTCTGGGTGCTGCTGTCATAGCTAAGGGGAGACAGGACAGTTATTGCAGAGTCCCTCTGGGGCAGCAGACTTGGGATCTGGGACCCCAGTTCCCCAGCAGATCCCATGGCCACTATGAGGGGCACCATCCTCTCATAGTCAGGAAAAGAAGACAGCCGCTCAGGCAAATTTCCCCTGTACAAAGTGACTAGCCTGTTTTCTGGGGAAATAATTTTGCAGTAGAATATAGCTGAATGCTTTACAAAGAAATAGATGCACCGTTCTGACAGTAAACAAAGGCAGCTGAAATCCATGACACTCTGCAGGCATGTCACAGGCCTGGGCACATGTGGATCAGCTTCAACACCTCCCTCCCCTGCTCCCTCCATTCTCCTCCTACACTCTTCTAGTCTTCTCTCCCCTCTGTCTTCCCCTTGACTCCCTCATCTGATCGTCTCCCTCCTCCTGTCCTCCTGTCCCCCTTTTCCTCCACTTTCTCACTCCTCATCCTTCCCCACCTGGTCCTCTCTCCTCTCTATCCATCTTCCCCATCATCCCTTCCCTCTAGCATCTACATTCACTTTGAAACTAACCTATTCAGTGGACAGAGGCTAAAGTTTGGCTTCCATGTTTACCATGACCTCAAGCTTTCAAATGTGGTCTCTAGCATGCTTGTGATCCCCACTCCAGGTGTGTATGGAGGAGATGGTTCTCTGAACATTGCCTATAAACAACCACACATTCCCATAATAAGCCAGACACATTCACTAATAACACAACCTAGGCCACTCACCGGGCTGCCCTGAGAGGGCCACCCATTTGCTTTCTACCACCACACAGCCATCCTGACAACCAAAATGAAATCTGATCCTGGTGTGAGAAACTGGGACACCATTCAGTTTTCTTCCTTTCAGGAAGCCTTTCAAGCCTGAGATAGAAACCACCCTCTGTTATCCTGGCAGAGCTGAAAGTACCTTCCTCTTTCAATTAACCCACCTCATGTCCAGAAACAGGAACCAGTTGCACCCCAGAGCAGTGAGATGTCATGAACTTGTCATCTGTAGGTTGGAATGCCCCATTTGATGCTAATTCAAGGTTCCTTCACTGAGTCTTGACTAGAATTTGGTGATGGCAGATGGGGCACAAGTGCAAATTAAGAGTATTCCCTGATTTTTAAAGTGTCCTTATGCCAAGATAGAAAGGAAAGAAGAAATTAAGATTTTAGAAGGCTTTTGCCCATCCCCAGATCTGTCTCTTTCTTACTTTGTGACCCTGGAATATCTCTTCATTTCTACAATGACATACTTCCTGCAACAAGACCACACCTATTCTAACAAAGCCACATCTCCTAATAATGCCACTCCATATGAGCTTATGGGGGACAATTGCATTCAAACTACCTCAAAAGACGTCCCTCATTCAGCCTACTCCAGCATTTCTGAAATACTCCTACATAATCCATCTGCTAGAGAACCTATGTCTCTAGGAGGACTCAGGTGGTCTGGGACTTCTTGAACTAAGGAGCCTGGCTACCCTGTCTTAAAAGGGAAAAGTGGAATGCCCCATGACTACTGAAGAGCCTTTCACACATTCCTATGCAGGACCTCTCCCTGAGCCTTTTCTGTAATGCTCCATTTGAACATGGAAAAGCAGGGACTGAGGAGAAGCCATTAGTGAGAGGGAGGTGTCAACCAGGCAGTGTTCTGTGTCTAGTGTCTGGCTGATTAATGGAATTTTAGTTTGTAAAATTAGTAGTCAAGGCAGCCTCTGGGGTCACAGTGCTGAAGACACAATCCTGGGATAAGGAGTCTGGGATTAGGGATCAGGAGAGTTTGAAAAATGAGTTCGAATTGCAGTGGGTAAGTGTTCATAGGGAGACATCCAGATCCCATACCCACCAAAACCTGCCTGATAGACCAAGGAGTGAGGCAAAGGCCCACAGAATGATTCCTGATTAAAAAAAAAAATCTTGATGTGGCTAGATCTGGGGTGGATTTGCGACTCTGGACTCTGGATAGGCCAGGGCAGATGAGAGTAGGCTCTGAGACTATAGACAGAAAACCAATTGGCCATGGACAGAATAGGATGGAGGACAGAAGACAGGAGTCCAGGATGACCACAGAGCAGCTCTGCTCTGAAGGGAGGGGAAGCAGAGTGATGGCCTGAAGGATTAGACTGCAGGGCTTGGCTCTCTATGCTGGACCAGGACCTAAACTCCAAGGCTGCTTGACCCTGAGGTGGGGATGTGTGTTTATGCTGCTGGATCCTGAGCACAAGAAATTGTCAAAGTACCAAGTTGTCCAGGGTGTATTGCAGATGGTCACATGCACTTGGGATGTGGGGCAAGTCTAAGTAGGATATTTTTTATTTATGGAGGTGAACATAGCTCATGTAGTTGAAGAAGACTCATTACCCATATCTTAGTCAACCAACTATGGGATCCTGGTAATCCAACTCTGGGGAGTCGCAGATCTCACCAGCTTCAATCTAAACCCACTCATGGCTCTGGGAATGGACTTCAATTAAAGTGGTTCACACTGATTGGCACCATGGACAGATCACTGTGTGGGAGAACACAGTCTCTCTTGTCCTGTTTCTCCTAAAACCTGTCCCACAAGACATTGCCTTCTAGATATGGCTCCTTCTAAGGAAAAAGGAATCCTCGACTCCCCAAGCTCCAGGCTCCCCAATTTCAATCTTATCTCTCTGTTACACACCCCACCCTCAGATCCCTGGCTGTTTTTCATGTAGGGAAGCTTTAGTTTTGAGTTCCCCTTTCCAAACCAAGCCTGTGGATCACTTCACATTCATAGTTCTACATCTGTCAGGGTTATTCCTAATCTAGATTATGCAACCAGTAAGGGACACTCTGTGTAGCTGAAGATGGATTGATTCCTGTCAAGAGTGAGAACTTGGAGCAGAAATAGGGTGGAGGTGGAGTCCCTCTGCTGATGGCACAATCTGATGACCTGCTCCACATTTAGGGAAATGGAAGAGGCCCTTTGATGCTCGTTTCACTTTTGATTCTTACTTCTACTTGGACAAGAAGAGGACTGTGAAGGTGCCTATGATGAAAATTAAGGACTTGACTACACCCTACTTCCGGGATGAGGATCTGAACTGCTCTGTGGTGGAGCTGAAGTACACAGGCAATGCCAGTGCCCTGTTCATCCTCCCTGATGAGGGCAGAATGCAGCAGGTGGAAGCCAGCTTGCAACCAGAGACCCTGAGGAAGTGGAAGGACTCTCTGAGGTCCAGGTGGGTATCCATAGGAACCAGAACATCCTGTTGTTGACCTGAGGCCCAGTTTCCCTGTCCCTCAGAGCCTCACTAGTACCCAGTGTAATGGTTGGAGAGTCAGCAGGGACAAGAGGAGTGAAAGTGAATTTCCATCTTCTTACTCAGTAGTTTGGGGCCACATTTTACTGTCATGTTGTTGTTCACAAGTTGATGACATCAGCTAGAGCAGGGGCTGAGGATTCCTCTGTGTCTGACAGGCTGTAATTACAGGGAATCTTGAATGAGTTTTGAAAGGCAAAGTGAAGTGAGGCTGAGATGAGATCAGCTCTGAGTCAGCTCTGCCCTGTGTAGCCATCTCATCTCCTCATCACTCATTCATTCACTATTCATGGGATGATGACTTGAAGACCTATGTGCTATGCTCAAATTTAGACCCTGAGAGGGTATCAGAAACTCAAGAACAAAATTTATTACCCTTAAGGATTCATCTTATAATGAGGAAGAGAGAGTGGGGACATGAAAATATAACTGATCATTATTTGATTAGTTAAATGTGAGCATGAGTGAGATTGAGAATTTGGAGGAATCAAGGATAAGGAAAGCTGGAGTTGGATGGAGTGAGCAATTTTAACTAGAAGGATCCTTAGATGAAGTCTGAGGGTCCACATGACAGGGAAGGACTGCATTTTCTGGGTCTGGGAGAAAAGCATTTTAGATAGGGGAAAA